GACTTGTAATATGGTGCTACGAATGGTAAAACTCATTGACGATGCCGACTACGATGCCGGCGAAACGTCTGGGAAAGTACCACGTCCATGATCCGACTTTGGAAATGATTATGCATACAATGGACTCAGGACAAGGTGCCTTTCTCTAAGTTTTTCTACCAATATGACCAAGTTGCGAAAACAAGGTCAAACAACTTCTTTACAACTAAAGGAGACTGTGACCGCGCAAAAGGCCACACAATCTTGGTTTTTATACATTCCAATTTAATGTATTTTTATTTTGTTTTGATACAGAACTTACAAAAGACGCCAGATCATTTTCTCCAACACATTGTTTCGTGTTGTCTGCTACCATCCAGAGGAGTTCCAGATTATCACTTCAGGTACTGATCGAAAAATTGGCTACTGGGAAATGTATGATGGTTCACTTATCAGAGAGCTAGATGGATCTCGATCAGGCTCGGTAAATGGAATGGATATCACCAAAGATGGTCTGAGATTTGCAACGGGAGGCGATGATAAAATCCTTAAGGTAATTTATTTGGTCTGATTAAGAAAACTTAATACGCTAAAATGGCTCACACTAATACATATGCTTAAAAATACGCCTCGAAACCAAACTGCTAGTTAATGTAATGTAAGACAAGAATAACTAAGCATCCTTACTTCTGCAGGGCTCAGCTCTTCTAAATATTCTGGGAATTCACTGAAGACAAAATAACTTATGCTACGCTTGATCTAAACAAATATTACATGCCTTAATATGTTAGCTTCAGTATTAATCACTTGGCCTAAGGGAAGACAATGTCAACTTGTATAATGAGAAATTGAAATGCTTGATTAGCTTAACTATTGAATTTCATCTCTTAATCTATTTTAAAAGGACTTAGCTTAAAAAGTAAAAATTGTTCATACGTTTCAAAGGTATCCAGATTTTAAATCCGGTTTTAAACATGAATGTCCCAAAAAAAGATACTAACATTTTAATATTTTCTCTATGTTATATCGGTTCCACTAATTAAGAATGGGCTTGTTGGGCTGAAAAACATTATATAACATGTATGGAAATGTCATTTTCGTTTGTGTCTTTTGGAGCATGTAACATTGTTGGAGAGTCTCATACCGTATGAAAGTGCATGAAGAAGGGAATCGAAGGTCGACCTCTACAGAAGAGGACGGCTGATTCTCGTTGGACTGCAGCCGTTTGGCTTTAATACGATGTTCATGTTGACGCATTCCATGAGAAATCGTTTCGGGTTTCGAATGAAAACATTCTGGGCTTTCGTTCATCTTATGATGGAGATTATCAGAGCTTGAATGCATTCATGCGAAAGTCTCATGTTAGCACTAGGTCGAGAAGACTATCTGGCTCTATCATACCTCTTATATATACTCATAACTAAAAATGAAAATGAATAGACATAGATAAATAAAGAATGGTTCAGCTTATTATCTTTCATATTTTTCATGCTACTTTTACTCGAGTGTGTGTACTTTTGTTAACGTCTATACGCAATACCAGTCCTAAATCAGAATTATCAAAAAAGGTTAACATCAGGTTCTGATCTCCAGGGTTTTGGCTCATTGAGCCTTTGTGATCAGTCTGACATTAGCGTTTTTAGAATCACTCTGATTTACGAGCTGTATTGTGTATAGACGTTAACACACACATACATACACTTGAGCAAAAGTAACAGGACCAATATGGAAGATAATCAGCCAAAATATTCTATATCTTTCGTATATAAGTAGAGTTTCGAGACTACCTTCATCCCCTTAGACGAAATAGGGCGAATACATTTCATATTACTGATTTACTGGTAGTCCCAGAACTCTACTTATATAAGAAAAATAACCAATGTAGTCGATTGTTATAGCAAAAATACGTTTGCTTCATCGACAATCTCCCCAAAGAATGTGATATGGAAAGAGTTGTGCTTACTTCCATTTCGAGTGAAAGTGTTTGGTGAAGAGATTCGAAGGTCGATTCCACCAAAATACCACAGATTCCTCTTGACCAGCTGTCCATTGGCATTACTGAAACATTCATGCTGATGATACCTTGCTCTGATTATGTTCGTCATATGACAGACGAAAGCTTTGCGTCTTTTCACCGGAATAGAAATAGATTACCTCGTAAACAGCGTCAACATGAATGTTCCAGTAAAGCCAATTGACAGCTGGTCAAGAGGAATCCGTATTCGTTTTTATGGTGGAATCGACCTTCAAATCTCTTCACCAAACACTTTCACTCGAAGTCGAAGTAAGCACAACAATTATGAAACGAGAGATTCCTTGAAACCTAACTTTTCTTCGCATATATGGAAAGAGGTCTGGCATTCCTTGAAATTCACCTCTGTCCTGTGACCCAATGGCATTCATGACAATGTAGCCGAGTGTTTAATGCGTCAAGCTCATATGCTGCACTGTCACGGTTCGACTTTCGCTGGGAGTGTCGAAACTGCAGTTCACTCTGAATGGGAACAATTTTTGAGAAACAAGGCTATGTGAAATTCAGTGGAACTGTAAGGCCTACTTATATCATTGTGGTAAAAATTAAACTACCAGTCCTTCATCATCTTAAATGAAATAGTGTGAATATATCTCATATTCTATATCTGTCTATGTCTAATAATTTTGTTTTGCTTAAGAGGTTAGATAGAGCCAGGTAGTATTTTTGGCCTAATGTTAACGTGAAACTGTTGCAAGAATAAGTACCAGCTCTGACGATACCCAACATATGGTGGACGAAAGCCCAGCCCGTTTTTATCTGAAAAGAAGTCAATTAATTTTGGGCTGTGTAGACCTGAACGTCCTAGTAAAGCAAAACGATTGCAGTACAACGGGATTCAGCCGTGTTCTGGTGAGATCAACCTACGAATATCTTCTGCACGCACTTTCATATGAAATTAAAGCCACTCCAACAATGTTATCTCAGGAGATTCTTTAAAACCAATTTACTCTTCGTATCTAGATCTACCTATTAACATTATTCTCTGCTCTCCTTTCCTCCGATGGTGAGAGAGTGTCTCGCTACAAGTAGGTTTAGACAAGCGTAATCATCTTCACCGGTGGTTTTTAGTGCCTTTTTAAGGGCCTCTGACCTTCATTGAGCCTTCCCTTGGCAACCCCCTTGTAAATTGGTGATTGTTAAACATCAAAACCACTGTCTGAGTATATGAAATTTGGCTGCCTAATAGCCTTCAATTCCCGTCCTCGCTTAAGGCATATTTGAGGATTTAGAGCATATGACGTTTATGACTTTATCCATGCCAATACCTGGGAATCTCCCTCTCCCTAGGATTAAAGCCCATACGCCAGTTGTCCCCTTACTCTTTCCTAACCACATCGTATCTCATTCTCCTGGGCACTGTGTCCTGCCTAATGCATAAATGCTGGTGGAAAAATGTACCGCTTCCCTTTCCCCCCTCCTAAATAGCAAAAAGCAC